TTTATTAAACCAAACTTCCGATTTGGCATTTAAGTCCCCAGCCATAATTATGTACTTACTATCTATTTTTCTAAGTACTTTATCTAATTGGTTTATTGCTGTTTTGTCGTTTAGATATGGGGATAGATAAGCGTTTATTATATATATTGGCGGATCGTGATGTATAATAGCCGTTGTAATTATTTCAGATGAGAGACTAGGAATTAGTGCAATGTCTATCATCCCATTGGTAACAGCTATACAGTTTTTTGGTGTTTTTTCCGTATTTTTACTTAAAATTTGCCAGTTTCCAAGTCTTACCACTGAGTTTTGTATTGTATACGGTTCCTGAATTAAAACCACATCCGCTTCTAATTCTTTTGCTTTATGCATTAAAATTGAACTGGCTGCCTTACATCTTTGTGCATTAACCTGAAGTATTTTAAGTGTTTTCGTTGTATCTTCTATACTATTGTTTTCCATTTTTAACTGTCTGTATTTGTCTTCCAGATTGTACCCTTGCTTACTTTTATAATTCGTAATTTGTTCTGTTTATTATTTGTTCCTTGACTTTCAGTAATAATGGGCATTGATTATTGAATGCGTTGTGGTTTGTAGGTTTTTTCCTTTCGGGTGGAAGGTTTCTGTTTGTTTGTAGGCAGTTTGCGCATGTTGGGATTTCATGTCTCATTTTACAGTCCTTAAAGCAATGTCCTTTTGTGCAGTGACTGCATATTTGTTCTTTCTGACAATCTCTCGCCCAATGCCCGAAACCACAGCATTTAAAACACCTGGTAACAGGTACAAAGTCATCCACCCAGATTGTTGACCAAGATAATGATATTTTCTTTTGGCTTATGAGAATATTTCTGATTTGTGGAGTAACTAGGAGTACCACATGATGACAGTTTTCTTTGTTCTTCCCTCCTCTTATAACTGTACTTATCTTGCAGTTCTCTTTTACTGTTGTACTATTCATGTTTCTCCAGATATTGTTTTGTTCCGACATTATTTCAATTATATTTTCTTCTGGTATACTTTGAGGGACATTTAATAATATTACTCTCGGTTTTTTACCTGTGGATATTTTGCAATTGATGTTTTCTTTGATTTCTGATATATTTTCTATTGCCTTCTTTAACCTTTTCCCTTCCTGTTCACTTCCTACTCTTATGCATATACCATTCCCTCTAATCTGTTTTAGTTGCTTTATTTTGACTTTTATTTCGTGTGGTTGTATCCTATCCATGATCTTCCCTGTCACTTCCTTCATATTAACCTCGATGTTATCTTCTTTTTCAGGATATACCAATACTGCACTGTTATCACCTTCATCTCCTTTATTATGTATTGTTTTTGATGTTTGACTTAGACCTTGATTTATGTTTAGTCTCACTATTTCCGCATATGTTGGTTGTCTTATCGTATTGCTTTTTTCTTGTCTGTTAATTCTTTCTCCTTCCGTTGTTTCTATTGGTTCAGTTTGTTCAGTCATTTTATTACGTTGTTTTTCTAGTTCAGCTTTCATTTCTAACATCCTTCCAAACATTTGGTGAACTGTTGCAAATATATTCATCGCTCTTTCTTTTATCTCTTTCCTCTCTTCAATTTTTATACTTGAGCGATATGGCATCGGCAAAAGATCTAATATTCTTGTGAGTTGAACTTTCGCTTCTTTCATTATGTTATCTTCTGCATTATTTTTCATTGTATAGTTATTAATATTAAATGTATCATCACCAAATTTGTCATGCATGGAACCCTCATGGATAGAATCATTAATACCTTCTAACTCCTCCATTATAGTTATTACCCCTACTATTAATGCCTATGATGTATATAATAAACAGAAGAGCGTGTTTTTGAAAAGTGGCGCAGTGCCAAGCAATACTGTATTTCCAAGTTATGAACTTAGAAAAACAGTATGAAAAGATAGATTAAATTTAAATAATATAATTAAATAATAATTAAAATTAATTTAAACTAATTTAAAACTTAATTAAACCCCAGGGATTGAAAATTAATCCTCTAATTGATTAACCATTATTAAAAACTATATTAATGTAATTAAATAATTACTAGCAAAAAGTAAAAACTTTAATGGAACTAAATATTAAAATATTTTAAAAAGAATAGACTAGTCCAACTCCCCTTTTAATTGGATTCGTCCCGTTAAAGCTAACTGAGCTAACGACCGTTATTAGATTTGAATAACGCAGACAATCGGTTAAAAACCGTTAAAACCGTTAAAGTACTGCTCTGCTTACAATTTTAGACAATTTTAAAATTGCGATAATTCCCTCTAGACTTAACCGATTTAAACCAATTTTGCATCACATATAGTAGGTGGTACCCTGACTCGATCATCCACTTCTCCCCCCTATCTCAATTTCCCCTCCTGCTAGAGCCCTTACAAAAACTGAAAACTAAAAAACCCCTAACTTCTCCCCTAATTGGCCCACCCAAAAAATAATGGTACCATACGAACCCTCTCAACGAGATCTATCCAGCAATGTATAAAGTTCCAGTGCGTGACGATTTTTAACTTTAATATCACAGTTTAAAGTCAGAGCCCAAATGACAGCAGCCTCTAATCAGTCGTGCAGTCCCGAGCTCTCATAGATAGTCCACTGCAAAATATTTTTCCAGTGTTACTGAAGGAATTTAGAAGGTCATCATATTTCAAATACACAATGATCTATAAATAACCAATAACCGGTGTGAAATTCTTCAAAAAATCGGCGAATGTTTTCGATTCCCCTCCTGGGATCTTCAGGCTTATTTTATATCTTCCATTATAACTGGATTCTTTAATTTGAATGTTTTTTAAAAATTTGAAACGTGACCTTTTCCGAAAAAATGTTCGAAAGTGGAAGGAATGCACGTGTTATTTCAAATATAATTTTCCACCAATGGGGATTCGTTATGTGCAATACCTCATATAAATTTAACTTATAAAATATATTATGATTTATTGTCAAGTAAAAATTGGCATGCTGTAGAGAGATTTATTTCTTCTTTGAAATTAATGCATGTGGATTTGCGATTGGCATTAAAGATTTCCATTGCTTCCAAAGTTCTTAGTTGCCCCTGATGTTGGGTGGTGCGGATAACGTGCGCTTCATCATCATCAAAGATAGGTGTGATGTCTGGATTTGTTGCATATGTAGATAGGGTTGTCGTACATTTATTGTGTGTGATGTCGGGTTTATGCTCTTTTAATCTTGTGGCCAATGAATGTTTGGTAGATTTGATATACACTAAAGGCATGGAATTCTGGATATATTTCTGGAGTAATGGAATACTGTATATTCCTGGAAGTCTGTTTGGGTCAGAATTGTCCTTCCTGTTCCTTAATAAACTGTAAATGGCATATGCAAATAATGAGGAAGTTCATGTTGAACTACAGAACATTAAATTGCTACACAGAGTATCAGATAAGTTAGATCTCAAGCAATTCGAGGTACTTGAGATCTACCAGGCAATTAAACAGGGAGTTGCTGTTAACTTCAAGGAAACGGACACACTTTCCACATCATGGCGCACCATTTTTGAACTAGATCCCAACGACAGAAATTTGTATTAAGGATAATTTAAATTACGGAGGATATTTACGTCATAAGTTACATGAAATTAATTGATTATCTATTTGGATATGCCTCAAATATTTTACATATATTTAAATTTTAATGTAACATATTCAAATTACATAATTAATCTAAACTTTAAAAAACATTCTATTTTACCAGCTGTTTGTTTGTTATTGTCAATATCTGAAGATGTTTATTTCACATAGATGAAAACGTTCGTAGTAAGAAATTTTCTGTTTTGTTATGAACTAGTGATGGTTTATTTGGTGAGAAGGTAAGTATCCAGTAAAAAAATGTGAATACACAGTTCACAAAATTATTTGCAAAAATGCAAAGAATCTTTTACTTGTGCGTATAGGATGACCTAGGAACTTGAAGCTGTGATAAATGAATAAAAACTTTGTCTTATATGCGAGTAAATATGGTACAGTAGAGTCTCGAAAACTCAGCACTCGATAACTCGGCAGTCCAGATAACTCGGCCACATCCTGGCAGGGCAAAAAAATCCTTAGTTAATTAATTTTCATTATAGACAGCTTTATAAAAGTATAAAAGCTCTCATAAAGTATTTTTCTGAGGTCTGTCTTATCAGGTAAATTACTGTACACAGTGTATTCATTAATTTTCATTTTCATGTAGTAAAGG